CTTTTCTTGGAGGAAGCAATGCATCGCCTGAGTGACGTCCGTTGCGTGTATACTGTTGTGGTAAGGATTTGTACTATGATAACCCTCCTCGATAAAAGCTGCAATTAATGCGATCGTAGAAATTATTAGATCACCAAGAAAAAATGAGCGATTCGTCAAATCGTCTCGCTTTCTTACTTCTACTTCATCCTTATCGATATATGGAGAAATCTGAAAAATCGTTCGCTCCTTCTGAACGACGCGTTGCAATGTAAAGTTGTGAAAGATAAAATAAAGATATGAGTCGAGTCATTGCTTCTCGCCGACATCGGCCTGGCAAGCCACGTCGTGGCAGCTGCGGCGCTTCGACGACAATAGTCGCGAATTAAAGAGCCCTATTTTTTAATGAGCAATGTGGGACTTGTAGAAAAAAAAATACCGTGCGCACATAACACCACGCGCGACGATACATAATTTTCCATTGTATGGAAATTCATGGTAGAATAAATAAATAGTAAGTGCCGCGTAGCCTATAAATATCGAAACATTGCATAAGGGAGCCATTCTTCTTATAGGCTCGCCCCTTTTGAATATTTAATGACGACGAATAGCTTCCAACCCGCGCGACTACGGTGCGGTGTGAGAAAAACAAGAGAAAAAAGGCGAAGAAAGAGAGAAAATCTCGCCCGGTAACAGATAACAGTGCGTTTGTTGAAACACGACACTTGTGTCGCGAAAGCTGCACGTGTCCGACGCAGGTCTTCCGCGCGTGGGACAGAAAAATAACGGTTACTGCAGAAATAACGAAGGCTGTGCGTGAGTCAAACTGAATATCCCGGCGGCGACGACCGCGCGAATTTAAACACACGAGTCGCTCAAATGCCCGCCAGCAGAATAATTCCGTTCGCGGTCGCGTCATTTGCGACATCGCGGACACGTTTCCGCGTTGAATTGCGGTTTCGCGAAAAATCGACGGTGCGCGAGGTGTTTTAGAAATAAAACATCGCGGAGCCCCAACATACACGTACAGGGCGAGCGCGACGCGTAACTTTCACTATCATCGCGCGCGCGCGCGCGCGCGCGCGTATGTGTGTATGCGTGAATGTAAATGACAGTTCCGATAAACCGACAGGTTGATAGCATGTCCGCTCGTTTTTAACTATGCTCGTTATCTGCCGCAGCATAAGCATGTGTTGCTGCTCTCACTCGCGCCCCATTTTGCGCGACAGACCTATCGACGACACACACACACACACACACGTGCGCGCGCGGACGCGAAACACATGCGCGCACGCACGCACACGGCTAGACAAACCGCTGAAATCGCTATTTAAGTACGCGGAGAGCACGAGTGGCAAGCACGGTGCGCGAAGTTAAAATTAGATAAAACCCCGCATTTATCGCATTTTTTCACCTGCGTCACGTTATCGATCGTTGCGTACGCAATTCGCGCAGCGCGCACTACTTCCTCTCCTCCGACCTCGTCGGAGAATAATCATTCCGCTGCGACAGCGCGCCGGCTATCGCATTCGCATCGCTATCGAAAATGCAAAATGTCGCAACGCGACGCCTGACACAATTTCATCTCGCGCGGGCTTGTCACGCACGCCTTGTCCGCCACCGTTATGCGTGCAACATCCGCGATCCGATCGGCCGGACAACACGGATGACAACACAATCCCGACCCGAGAATCCCGATTCTCGTAATTCTCTGCATACGCTTACCGAATAGCTTCCACACGGTCACGACATCCAGGTTGAAGTGCTGCAGCAGCCCGTACCAGTGAAAGAGATGGACGCACAGCACCGGCAGCGAGCGACCTGCAAATCAGAGGCGACACGTCAAGACGGCCGACGACGACACATCCGCGAGTACGTGTACGAATGAATTAACGCGTTTAAATTAGACACCCGGCCGATGTTCCTGCGACTGTCGTGGCGCGACAACTCCTCGGCCGAGTGGTAACGAGACAGAATGGTAATGGGCAACAAGGCCCTTGTTTGTATAAAGCAAGCTTAAAATTTAAGTCCGACCACGAGACCGAATCAACACACTGTCAGTCTTAACGCTCGATTTATCTCGCCTTTCTCACCGGATTGTTCGTACTACTTACACACACAGAAAAAAAACATACCGCATTCAAGCAAATGAATAGATCGAGTATTTCGTATTTCGTTAATATGTCCGCAAATCTATCATGAGTTTGCCACGGATTTATTCAAAATACACTCTGAATCCTGGCAAGCCTGACGCTTCGATTGAGAATTAGACCGAGAGAAAAATTCGATCTGCCTACTTGCACGAAGCAGCTCTTTCTTCGATAAAGAATAAAATACAATAATCTTAGAAAGAGAATAAGATCCTTCTTTTGAGTGCATGATGATGAGCTCTCCTTTGTGATGATTATACGTTGATATTATTATCAAGAAAAGGTTCTTTGCTGAAGAGAGATCGCTCAAAAGGAAAGTGAATTGAATAATTGCTTTTCTTAGCAGCAGAATGACATTTTTCTGTGTGTACACACGGAGAGAATGTTTTTTTGTCATATGAATTCTTCTTCAATTTTACCATGTTCCTAGTAACGCACATGAAAATAGACTGCAAGTAAGATCTATCTTGCTTAGGATCATATCCAGATGGCATAAATGTTCAAAGCACGTCTTGGAGCCATCCGAAAGGCGTTCAAAGCACATCTTTCAGATGTCTCTAAGATACCCTTTAGACATTAATGCTGTGCGGATAGTGAACTCACTAAAAACATGGCGGATCTTTTTAATAGCACATTCGAGAACACAAATAACACACATGAAACAAATCAGTGCAGAATGCCGTTTCACAGTTACAAAATTCTCTACAGTAAAGTTCACTGTAAGATCCTCTTCGTATGCAGTAGATCAACTTTCCGCTGCAAAAGTTTGCGCAATTTTGAAACTCCCAGTTTCACGTCAGACCGTGTCGATCCGAGGAACCTGATCTTCATTTTCAATTGAACTGGTCCGCGGTGCAAGATGAATTTGCGTAACCCTGAGAGACTCGAATCACTCGATTTTGTTTTTCCTCCAACAGCGTAGAAAAAAGATCGACGGCTCGTCTGTTAATTCCTCTCGACGATACGCCGACGTTCGTGGCCGCCGCTACAATATATAAGTATGTTAAGAGCCGGCTGAAGGGAAGCCTCGAGTGAGCGACAATCGCAATTAGCGCCGTCGATGATTTACCGCTTTGGCGCGTTCGCAGTGACGTAAATACGCGCTGTGCATCGTGCCGTCGATTCGACACTCTCTCTCTCTCTCTCTCTCTCGCGTAGAGGCGCATTTCGCGAGACGAGTGCGTGTGAAAATAGCGTCGCCCTTCCGAACGAAACGAACGTCAGAACGCGGAGCGACGGAACGTTGGCCGCGTACCAGAGCTTGACTTCGCGGACGTTTCCCTTCGCTTCCTTCACGAAGAACGCGAGCCACGAAGGTGTCTCGTCACGCCGCGGGCGTTCGATCGGCGCGAGAGGAATTAAGAGGCGCACCCTACAGTCGCCGACAGATCGATCGTCTCGCATTGACAACACTCCGAAATCTCCATACAATGAACGACTTCGACAATAATACTCACCGCCCGTGACCGTTTCCAGCGTGAAAGCATTAAATCGCCAGTTTCCGGCCCTTTGTAATACGCACTGCAACACGGTAATTCAAATACGGTAAGTCGAGCTGGGCACGGGTAATTCGATTTGGCGGGAGAATCGGGAACGTGCACGCGTGTTCGACGACAACGATGAGAGAGGGAGAGAAAACGCATGAGAGCGCATAGGGTAAACTCGGATAAGATGGCCATATTTTTTTAAAATGCAAAAAAAATACATTTCTTATTGTTATTTCTTAATAGCGTTTGGCACATTACTTCACTGAAGCCTACAGCACATAATAGTATCACAGTTAAAAGGAAAATATTTCAGTGAAATTATTCATTACAAAAATATTAAAACACGAGCATTAAGGAATAGATGATCCATACATATTTTATATTCAAGATTCTGTATCCATCATTTTATAAAATAATGAAAAAAACAATTTGAAAAAACAATTTTTTAAAACATAAAGTAAAACATAAATATAAGTTTTTAAAAAACATATTTTTTTAAACATTCATTTTAATATAGGATATTTAATATATATTATTTGTGAATAATATAATGCACATATAAAATAGAAACCTCTACAAAACTTAAATTTTAAATCCAAATTTTGATCAAAAATTGATTATTGCACATAAGAAACTTTAATTACGGTAATATTGAAAGTAAGTTTTTGAAATATAACGACTTTTGTTTTATAAATGTTCAAATGATAGTGGGCCAACTTACCTTTTAAATGTGAGTGAAAGACAGTTATAATAGTACTTATAAACAAATAGTGAAAATGAAAATAAAAATGCATGTTATATTACAATTTACATACCTACTTTATGTATCTAAAGTTGATTGCGATAGCTGTAATTTATTCGACGTTACAGCAAGTTTTAGTGGATACATGAGAAATTTTACAAGTAGTCGAAAATAAAAATATAGTATAGATTAATATAATATAATAATATATTATTATAGTATAATATAATATTATATTATAGTATTATAATAGTATTATAATACTATAATAATATTATATTATAGTATAGTATATTATATTATAATATTCATAATTTTGCTATTTCGAAAAATGTACGCACATACATTACGATAAATATCTTTTATATTATCTTTGTGACTGATTACACAATTAAACGCAATGTTTTGCAATTATTAGAGAAATTATAGCCTATGATCATCTTTCTGGTATGGCCATCATATCCGAGTTTATCCTAATAATCTCTACCGGGAGAGATGTTTCCCCGCTGGGCGAAACTACAGGAAAAAGTTCCGAACACATTTTCTCCGCGATGCGTCGACATCGCGCGAATTCGTTCCCGATGAAAAAGTTAGTGTCGCGGGTTGTTAAATCCGAAATAGTTTTCAGCCGCAACGTGGAGGATAATCGCGTTCGGATTGAGCCCCGGCGCGCGCGTTTGTGTGAACTTTGAAATTTTTTTTCGAGTGCATGTGCTCTCGTCCTCCTCCTCCCCCTCCTCTTCGTCCACCTCCCCCGTGACTGGTGACGCAATAAATCGTTAAAATGCACATCGCGTGCTGCTGCCGCGGCTGCATATCATAGCCCGACATTTTTATATTTTTATACACGAGCGTGTTCTCGGAAAAAAAGAAGGAAATAGAAAAAAGAAGAGCAAAACGTTTATGGAATCGGGCGGAGGGGAGGGGAAAAAATTGAAATGTATATCGCGGAACCGTCGCCAGATCCGTCGGCAGTTTCGCGATCGACTGTTCGCGTTTCGAAAAGCAGTCTATTTACCTTGATCGCATCTCCGCCGCGTATTTCCCACAGTCGATATTTTGAATGCAATGTATATAAATTTATTAGTTTTGCGGAACCGTAGAGGAGCTCCACTGGCCGATTGCGGCTCGGAGAATATGAGGAAATACGGTCTTATTCCGCGAATTTCAAAGTTCAATAAAGTCGAAATGGGCGACACGGTATTAAACTTCGACCACTTTCCTCTGTTTCTCTCTCCCTCTCTTTCGCTTCGTAAACAGACTCGAAACTTCCATAGTGATCTGTTTCTTGTTCCTCATTCGCGCTCGATATCGTTACGCGAAAGCCGCCGAGTAAAGTCCGCTCATATTTCGAGATTAGCGAGCGCATCGGATTTCTTTTTTCTCGACTATTTTCCACAGGCGCGTACCGCTGCGAGAGAAGAAAATAATCGCGGTGAAGTGCAACGTTTACGCAATCGAATCGCGCGGCTATGGATACTCGTTAGGTAAATCGAGATGACTTTTCACGCCGTCGGAGAGCGTTGGAGATTTTCCCCGTTATGAAACGTCGAGGAGAAGAAGGACGGCTTCAGCTTGGAAACATCTTGGCGTTATGCTAATTTTCGCGGATTCAATCGGGACGGAAGAGAATCTACTCGATAGAATTTCCCAGAGAGATCCGAATCTCCAGCGGACAGTACGACTGCATGAAGCATCGCGGGCGGCCGTGCGGAAAAAAATATTTTTGGACGCCGCTTGGGTGAATCGCCGAGTTTGTCAGGAAAGCTCCGGCTCGAGCGCGGGAATTACCTGCACAAGTCCGTGGAAGATGTCGTCCAGGATACCGGGCTCCTGATTCAAGGATCTCGTGGTAAGCCTCTTACGCCGTCTCTTGTGCATCGTCAGGAATCGACCCGTGTGCCTGGGCCTGCATCGACCGACGTCCAGGCTCTCCAGCAGGACTCGCTCCGCGTCCGATAAACGCCTGAATGCTGCTTCCGTCGCGGATCCATCACGGGTCTCCGCCGGCAGTGTGGCCGCCGATGTGCCGGAGTTACGAAATAAGCTGCTATCTACGGTAAACGGTGGATATCGTCAGTACATGGCGGGGATTTCGCAGTGAAAATTACTGCAGAATCTTTTTCAACCGACGAATAAATCGACATTGTGCAGTAATTTATTGTCCTTTCACTTCTCACACTTCCGAAAGTACGATCAGTGTATTTTTCATTGAAATGTGTGCGTGCTACATTTGTAATCGGTGCTTCAGTCACGAGTATAACGTTGCAATTAGCAAAATCTCGCTGAAAGAATCAGTTAATAATTAATTAACGAGTGTTTTGATTATCGACGCAATTTGCAAATGCAGACAGCATCATTGCGCGCAAATCGCACGAAGAAAGCCGCAACAAACGCAGAGTGTTGGATTCGTGTATGACGAATTTGTGTACTACAGATTTTGCAGGGATATTTCACTTCCGCTATAAAATTAACTTTCGTCGAAATCCGTGAGATATCAGATGGAGCAATAATGTGGGCGTGTCCCTACAGAGAATCAGTGAATATTCACTGATTATGGATAAAAATACTCTTCCCTTTCGCCGATTCAATCAGAAATATTGATTCATTTTAAGAGACTGTGAGCCGCTTATATTCTAGGAATTAGAATGTGCTGTTACAAAATTTTCCTTTTATCCTTAGGAAGATAAACTTTGACAGTCTATTCCTGCATTACTGGGAACATAAAATAAAATTAAAAGAGAACACGGAAAAAAATAATTTGCTGGCCCAGCAAATTTTCTGCTGGTCTAGCAAAATCTTTTCGTTATTATATGGACAGCAAAAAGATTTGCTAAGAATACTAATCACTATTTGCTAGATATAATTTGCTGAATCTACAAATTATTTTGCTATAAGAACCATGATGGATTTACATAAGCAGTTGCAGTTTTGCTCCGATAGCAAATACATTTGCTAAGGATACGTTATTTTGCATCAATAGCAAATTAACGTGATTCTTAGGACAAATACAACAAATTTTTTCTACAAATTCAACAAATTTTTTCTATCCTGACAACGAAATTACTTCTGCTCTGATAACAAATAATTTGTAAAATTAGTTACGTCAACTAAATTTTTTTGATGTCACTACGAATATGGAATAGCAACGACAATTTTGCTAAAAGAGCAAAATTATTTTTCTCCGTGTAGGAAGACAAACTTTGACAGTCTATCCCTGCATTACTGGAAAATAGAATAAAATTAAAAGAGAATGAGAAGGAAGAAACTGCAATATTCTCTCGGTGTATTTTGCGAGAGTGACTGATTGCGTTTCGATCTTGGAGATAAAGAATCCACAGGGACTGAATTGTGCAAGCAGCTATGAAAGGTTGCGCTCCCGGTATCGTTACGCGCGATTGTCGATACAGTTGCGCCGTGTGTCGCACCAATGTGAGATTGATCAACGTGACTTAATTGGAACAACGCCGCCCGTAAATTTGCGAAACCTGACGAATTCGACGCGCGTGACTCGGTTTCGTTAAACAAAACGCGACATTGTCCAAAACCAAAGCCGCGGCGAACTCAGCGGAAAGCCCGGGGGAGCCAGCGTAAGTTAAAGCTACGTGACTAATGTTAACAGTTACGCATTAACGGGGCCATTGCCGCGGACAGACGTCCGTAGATGCGACATACATATGTATATCATGCATATCCGCTCTGCTATCGCGCGCACCCCTTCGCGTGTCTCTATACATACACACACATACACAGAAAAATACGTACTGCATTCAAATAAATGTTACCTGTTTCAAAAGTGCTTCAAAAGTAAATTTATATATTCGCAAATCTATCGTAACTTCATCCTGAGCATCCAATTTATTCGAAATATATTCTGAGTGCTAGTAGATTCAGCATTTCGATCAAAAATATTGAATTAAAACGCAAATGCAGCTTGCTCAGTGGATAGAGTCAAATCGACTGTTTTTTTGATGGAGTTTTACAATATTCTTGTACACTGACAGAAAAAATATCTAAAAATTTCTAAATATTTATTTGATTGGATGTTTAGTTAAGTCTTGGCATAATTTGGCAGAGAGAATTATCGATGGAGGAAATGTGTAATAGATTAAATTCTTCTTTTAAGTGACAGTGAGAGTCTTTCTGAGATTTGTGATGAGTATATCCCTAGAACTAATATCAAGAAAATCTTCTTTGTTGGAGATAACCATAGCTCGAGAGAAGAGATGTAAACTGAGTAATCGCTTTTCTCAGTGTTTTCGCAGTGGAATGATATTTTTCTGTGTGCATCCCTCTGGGCTATATATATATATATATATAACATAAGCGAGACGACGGGTCAACCGTGTGAAACGATTATCACCGATATTCACCTGTTCCGCGTGCAGCACGCAGAAGCGCGTGCATGCGATTCAATTTGAGTTCGCGTCTAGCCGACTAGTCTATTTTCAGGCCGGCGACTGATTTTCATTTCATTGTCGTCGCGCCCGCGACGACTCAACTCGCTCACCCTCCGCCTCTCGCTTTTCTCTGACTCTCGGAGAAAATACGGGGGGTGTATTCGAGGAGAATACAGAAATACATTCGCCGCATAGATATATATGTCCACCGCGGGGGACGAGAATACCGGGGCAACGTCGACTGTGAGTTTCGCGACAAGTGCGAAGATACTGATCCCTCTCGCGCACGGCGAAGCATCATGATGAAGATGCACCACGCGGTCAGGACGATGCGCCGCCGATTTTGGCAGCGAATCGCGCGCGGACGTGATTTACAATCGGAGGCCGTTCTATTATTCGTCTAATGCCGTCCAATTGTGGATCCTAAGGTCGTGTGTCTAAATGTGAACGCTCGTTGTACTTGCGGATTTAGCTTAAATCGATCGTGGGATCTCTTTCTCTCTCTATCTTCCCCTGTTTCGCGCGCGCATCGACCGCGACGGCGATAACGTGAAATGAGCCCTTTGCGAGACACGATTGCCGAGAGGGTAAATACGAGGGCGATAAGCGCATTGGATATTGCTTCTGCGAGCTGAAATATCGCTTGAAATAAGGTAACAGTTCCGATACCTAGGCACGTACCTAATTCTGGACATTCTTTTGGCCTTTAAGCACGAATATTGGAACTTTTAAAGCATGGAATACGTGCATATATTTTATGTTAAAAGTTCAGATGTTCATAGTTGAGAGAGAGAGAGAGAGAGAAGCAAAACAATCAGAGTGTCCAGAATTAGAATTATGCGTCCAGCATACCATTGGTGCCTCAATGGAAACGCGTCTTCTCGCTTCATTTAAGATGCGTCACGGACTCCTTATCATCGCGCGTTTCTCCTATAATCCACTTCCTGTCGTGAGTAAGATTTTTTTATCGGTTTCTACGTGGCGCAATTACGAGTCTGCGTGCGACAACGATTACAACGACGAGCGTGATCGCGGTCGGAAAGGCGGAGGAACGATGGGACTCGCGGGGAGACAAATTATCCGAGCGCGAGATTAATCCACGATTAATTTCGCTTGGCGGTGATTCAATCGCGGGACGAACACGGCACCGCGACGTATAAACGCGCACAACGCGATGAAAACAGATAAAGCAGCTTCTCCCGCGCCAATTTGCCTGACAATGTCCCAATTATGGGCCATTATAGCCTATTTAATTGCACGATAAGACTCGGAGCGACGAACGACGACGACGACGACGACGACGACTCGGACGCGCACGGCGCGCCATGCCGTGCTTTATCCGCGGGTTCTCGTTGCACAACGCAAATTGCAGTCGTGCTGCTGCGAAGACGTGCTGATGCGCTCGTCGGGACGGCGACGACGACAGCGTGTATGTGTATATGTGTGTATGTGTGTGTGTCGTGTGTGCCTGCACATCATACACACGCATATATCGCGCGTGATGCGTTCCGCAACAATACAAGGCGAGCATCTCGCGCGGCAGGTGGAATAAATTATGCATTCTTTTCTCCGGCAACCGGACTGCGACGAACGAACGAACGAGCGAGCGAGCGAGCGAGCGAACTGGCGAGCAGCGGGATAATTGTTGCGCGTATTACGCGGACGCGTTGCCCGTCTGCGCGCAATTAACCCAGTTATCGGCCGGCACGAATGCCGCCGATTCGAGGCCTGAGCCAATTACGAGTTATCTATCGAAAGAAACGCGACGGCCGTGGGCGGCTGCATGAAACGCGCGCGTTATCGCGCCGGGAGCGCCGTGCGTTTCCTCTCGCGGTTTATTCCCTCCTCCTGCTCGCCTTATCACGATCTTTGCGATGCGCGGTGCAACGACCCCGGGGAGCAGCACCCAGTCTCCAATTCGTGGGATTATCTGTCGACGGACCGCGTAGCGGATGCCATCTGTTTTCGCGGCTTGTTTGCGCGCGCGGATTCGACGGGCGCCGATGAGGAAACGAAAGAGAAGCGTTATCAATCGGCGCGAGTCGTTAATTAGCATTCGACAATGTGTCCCGAGGCATGCTTCGCGAGATAAACTCTCGCGGGATACCCTCTTCTCCGAGCAGTGAATCGTATGTGATTACTTTATGTAAAATATTTATTGTTATTTTATTATAATACTATTTTATTATAGTGAGAGAAAATATCTAAAAAAGAGGTAGAAAAATATTTATATATATAATATGAAGTTATAAGGGTTTTTTCTAACTTTGGTGCCCGCTGATGAGAAGACTAAAGACCATTCAGAGGAATTAATATCGCCACGTTCTTTCTCATAAAAAACTGAAGGAAATAGGATAGATGCGAATCAAAATCGCTCTGGTCATGTCGGTAGTGTTCGCTGTCAGTGTAGTGCACTCAAAAATATAGTTTCGTCTTTAACGGGATCCTCTTATGTGTACGGCTTCAAAAGAATTCTTCCAAAAGAGAAAAGATCTTAAGCACAATATTATCCCTCTTCATTGGAAGAGGAGTATTTCCTTCGGCAAAAGTTTTCTCTTAGAATACGGGGTTATGGGAAACAGCACTTCGCAACTAGAGTTTTTTTTTTCGGATGTTAGAATATTTTTCTTTTGATTTTAATGGAATCCTCTTGAAGGCAAAGTATAAGAGGATTCCGCTAAGAATAGATTTCCTCGCAGAGCGTAAATACATTACGAATAGGACAATATAAAGATACATATTATTATTTCGCCGCGTTGCATCTCGTCGTCCGCGAATTGCTCGGTGGTCAATTCGACATCTCTCGTTAATTGCTCCAAGGAAACGAGACTCGACTGACTATCGTCGATTTAATTAACAACGATTTATCGTTCGCCTGCATAGAAGGACCGACTGGTCTCGCGCGCTCAGAACACACTCGACCTCAGGATTTCCCTTAGAATCACGACCGACAACGGAACACGAACGGCTCAAGGAAAACAAAGCCGTCGTCGTGTAGTGATCGACCGCTTCGCGTCAACTTCTAAGCGAGGTGCGAAGTTACGGCTGTTCTCCTCATGCATACCAGATGCACTCGAATTTCCGGCGGAATATCGCCCAATAACTCAGCCCAGATAGAACTCGAAGTCGTCCCCGTTGCGGACGAGTTCCTAGCGAACTTGAATCTGTCCCAGCCGCTTTCTCTCTCGTCCGCATCGAAACGAGGCGAATTGAAGGACCTTCATCCGCCCTCGCGAAAAATACCGAACCGCGAAAGCATCGTCGCGCTACCTTGGTATCTCGCTCGGCTCGTCGAAGGACCCGACGTCGTCGGCTGAGTGATCGTCCCCGACGACGAGCGACAAGCGTCTCGACAGCGAGGAACGCGACGACGATGATCCATGGATCCCGATGACGACGATGGTGCCGCTCAACGACCTTCCGCGAGACATTCAACGGCGCCGCGCCGTCAGTTTCCCTCGCGAAATCGCAAAAGTCCGAAATCCGCGGCGACGTTCACGACTACCAGAACGGATATCGAGCGTTTGTCGTGCGACGTTCGCGATCAACACCAGCACTGACGGACACCAGCGGGACGTGGTCTCGCGAAACCTGTCGCGAGACACGAGCCGTAGGCTTACTCACCGGAGATACGCACGAACACCACGTTCTGCTCCTCGCTGTCCACTGTTATCTCGGCAGTCCGCCTCTGCAACAACGATAAGCGATCGATTAGCTTTCGCTCAGCTCATTATCATTATCAGTGTAAATAGTTAACCACCAGCGACAGAGAGACTATCCCGCGTGCGCGCGATAGATAGTGCGAGGCGCGCAGCTCGAAAATCCGAGACTGCGGGTCGTTCGAACATTCGATATATAAGAAACAAAAACAAGGTACACTCTCGCTCGCGAGAGACAGTTCAAACACCACTTTTCTGATGAAATTGAGAGAGCGCGTTAAGTCACGGTGAGCCACTGTTCACAAGTCTACACGTTATGAGAAGAGCCAAAGCCGAAATTAACCCTTCGTATACATACTGGGTGGTTACCACCCATAACTAAAATTCACAGCTATCATACATCTTCAATTTTTGCATCGATATGCTCAACTATCAAATTTGCTAAATGTAAATATACATATGTATATATGTATGTACATGTATGTATGTATAAAACTGTAAATATACTTTTTCCAGAGATGACTTACGAGACTATTTTTTCCTTAAAGATAAACATTTCAACGATAAAATGCTAAATTTTTACTAAAAACTAATAAAAATTACAAAGTTTTTTTGCGAAAACTCACTTTTTTTAAATCGCGAAATATAATAATTTTTTTAATATGAAATTTTTTAAATCTTAATATCAAAAGTATGTAAATACTTTCTACAAACATTTAAGTTAATTCATGAATTTATTCAGAATTTTAGCATAAATATTTTAAAAGATACAGCTGTTTGAAAATTACCATGTATGGCAACCACCCAGTGTGTATGCGAAGGTTGAAAAAATAAGTGTGTACACGAAGAATTAAAATAAAAACGCAACTATACGGAGAAAAATAATTTTGCTCTTTTAGCAAAATCGTCATTACTACTGCATATTCGTAGTAACATCGAAAAAATTTACTTGACGTAACTAATTTTACAAATTATTCGTTACCAGAGCAGAAGTAATTTCGTTGCCAGGATAGAAAATATTTGTTGAGTGTATTTGCCCTAAGAATCACGTTAATTTGCTACTGATGCAGAATAATGTATCCTTAGCAAATTTATTTGCTATCGGAGCAAAACTGCAACTGCTTACATAAATCCATCATGGTTCTTATAGCAAAATAATTTGTAGATTCAGCAAATTATATAGCAAATAGTGATTAGTACTCTTAGCAAATCTTTCTGCTGTCTATAATAATAATCTATAATAACGATTAAAAGATTTTGCCAGACCAGCAGAAAATTTGCTGGGCCAGCAAATTATTTTTCTGCGTGTATCTTTCATTATATACTTATATTATCAGATAAGAGAATAATAAAGGGACAATATTTGCACTTTGTGCTGTCACTTGGGCTCCTTTCAAAATCGATTACGACGCAAGCTCCGTAAAACAATGGTTCACAATTGTGACCGATGCGCTTCATCAAGAAGATATGTTGAAACAGTTTCGCAAACGAGCGTACAGGAAGAAGGTCGCGAGAACAGCGACAATGCACCCGGCATTATCGTCAATTATTAATGCGCGTTGCGCGATTTAATCGCGCTGTCGCGCGCGCGCGTACCGCGGCTTCGTCGTACTTGCATCCACGACGATTATCTTATTCGTGCTCTCTCGCTCCCTGAAGGACGGCCTCATTGGTATTCCGCTCGGCGGATTTCGAACGCTGGCGGGTCGGCGGCAATGATAGCGCGGGTATCTCTCATTTTGCGAAATTACCCCGGCGACGTGTATAACGGACACACGCTCCCTGCATTTGTAAGAATGAGGAAACCCTTTGAAACCCGATTCCTTCCTGACCGGAGAGAGACAATCCCGCGCCCTTCCGCACTGCACCCGGAATTAGTTTCATCGAGATAGTTCGAGAGAAAAAAGAGAGAGAGAGAAGGATAGAAGAGAAGGAAAGAGAAAGAAAGAAAGGCAGAAGAGAAAGAAACACGGGCGAAAACGAGTCGGTGAGTAAAAGCTGCTTCGTGCCTTGTGCGGAAAGACGGACGGCACGAGAACAATGGGGGGGAGAAGAGGGCGAGGCGAGGAAGCCGATGAGGAAAAATGCTCGAGCGAAAGGACGGAATTGCGCAAAGGCTCCGGGAGAAGAGTAAGCACGACCTGGTAGAGAACCACCAAGTCTACAACTCTTCTGTCGAGACTTCGTGTCGTAGTGTCGTGAGCGAGGACCGGGGGTTCGTTACACCCCGCCAAGAAGATCGTGTCTCTGTCCTTCGAGAACGAAGAGTGATTCTCTGTCTCTCTCTCTCTCTCTTTTCTAAATTAAGACCCGTTTCGTAATCATGTAATTTCCAAATGCTGTTTCGGAATCATGTGTCCGCCAGAAACGTAAGAGCTTGGAAAATTGCCACTATAAAGAAGAACCGGAACGATACGGTAACAATGGTTGGAAAAGGAATTACGACGGGTAATGAATCGTGTAAGAATTAATCGAAACATAGAGAGAAATTTGCTTATTTATTTATGCATTTTTTTATCGGTATTCTCTCGCATTTATTCGTTTAAGCCACCGTTTCTTATTTCTGCAACTTCATTTGTTCTTATTACGCCACTTTATTTATTTTCGTTGCGGAAAAGACTCTTTTATATGTATATCTGTATATATCCCCTCGTCGACATACAAGTACTAAAACGGCAGATAATTTTGCTAGAAGCTCGTCCTCCGTCGATAGAAATTTCCAAGGGATAAGAAACTTTATCACAATAAAACAAAATGAAATAGCGTAATATGAATAAATGGAGTTAGAGACGACGGCTTAAGTAAGTAAATAAATACAAAAACAGATCGATAGATCATAGATAGGTGAGTAAATTTTCCTCCATAAACGTCGCGCCGACCGCCCGCCCGATGTAAAGCGGGAATTGAGACGGGCGCGTTTAATGACACGTGCGGTAAAAATACGGATTTACGTGATACTTTACGCGGCCGCCGAGCGATAGGGTTGCCGGATGAGCAAATCTCTTTAACGGCTGATCCTCGCGCATAAAATACGGATCCCTATGCGGAGCAGCTGCTTGACGCGCATCTTTGAAAACATTCTCACGAGTGCTCGCGCGTTCGAGTAATGAAATTTATGTACACTGTCGAGCATTTTTTCTTGCTTTCCCCTCTCTCTCTCTCTCTCTCTCTCTTTTTCCCTGCGGGAAAATCCACGGTCGTCGACGAAGACGTGGCTGTCCTTATCGCAGAGAAAACTTGAAAAAGCTCTCCCTAACTAGCGAGATGTCTTGTTTAATGTTACGCTCTGAACAAGTTGGCGAATGAAATCTCAAGAGTATAAGCAGATAACGAATCCTTATCTTGAGGTTAACTTCGAGAGCGCATCTCGTCCCGACGTGACTTTAATTCACAAAGCAGAATTATAAATAATTCGTTCTAAGAACTCGTATCGTCGAGTTCTTGCTTCAGAAAGATTCTCTGAATCGAGTCCGGCGGAGCTTTCGCTCTCTCGGATTTGTCGCGACTAAATGGGGCACGCGGTCCTGCAATTTCTCCCTTACCCCCGCAGTTCCATTATTTTACGCGCGAATGCAAATAAAGGCAGGAGTGATTGCATTCTCGCGGCAAGACGAATACAAGTGAAACGGTGTGGAGATAAGCGGATCAACCTTTTATGAAGCTGTTCACGCCGCTCGCCTCCTCGCGTCGATTCGGTGCGGTGCGAACTGACGCTACAACGTCAAATCCGTGTATTTATCGTCGGGACTCTTCGCTGCGGCGCAACGTCCGTTCCGAGTGGAAGCCGGCGAGAATGCAAGAGCGCCCGGCATCCGCGTTCACGCGCATTAATTAGCCGATCGGAACGCCCGGTGGAATTCTCGAAATCGCCGCACGCGAAAAGCATGCACGTGACCTGAGAGCTGGGGGATATCGATATCACTCTCCGTGGTCTCATTGTGATATACCGCAGGATGCACAGAAGGCACGATGGTCGCGCTGGTTGACGCCAGAGCGACCAATCGTCCCGAATTTTGCGAGACATGCACATAATTATAGCATATGTGAAGTTAGCATCCCCGCATTTTCAAACAGAAAGAGTTCTGATTGCTCCCTGCATTGTTCTCGAATTCTCAATTGATTTTAGAAATAGTTCCGGCGAATAAAGCAATTGAAACGTCATTGGAAAAAGTGAGAGAATCAGATTCATATTTTTGAAATGAAAAATCGTCACAATTCTGTAGCTTTTAATTTTCGAGTGTTCAGAATAATTTGTAGAGCTCTTGAGGGACCATCCAGAACTCTAAAGAAAAAATCAGATTTAAAAAATTTTTTTTTCATTTTTGTATGTATAACTAGACTGCAAACTCCCTCGTGTATTAAAAAATGGACCCCGAAAAGTGTGTATTATATGTAAGAAGTAAGCATCTGCGCATGCATGACGTAAGTAGTGTAGAGGAGGAGGTGGTGAATACGTAATATCACCGATACTTGCACGTATGCCTTCAACCAATCACACGTGAGTATCCAACTTAGGTATCACCGCTCATTTCGTCAACATACTACTCACATGACATATGTAAGCTTAGTTATATATTTTTCAGTGCATGTATGTCCCGATTTTTTAAGCCGAAATTGCCTAAATTGCCTAACAGTTGGTCACACCCTGGTCGGCGCGGCAAGTTGTACGTTCTAACTTTACGTGCCAACTTTATTTAAAGCGGAATGTGTTATTGACGATCGCTAAAGCGAAAATAGCGGTAAACAGGTATGAGAAATACTTTGACGTTCACCTCTTCGGCGACATCTCCGCGACTCGGGACGACAGGTATCGTGACGGACTCGGCACGTCAAAAATGTCGAAAACTCTTAAAAAACGCCGAAAGTGATTCCGCTCCTCGAAACTTCCAGCGGGGAAAAAGCATCGAATCGCGTTCGACAGAACATCCGAGGGAGAATTATTAAGAGTATCCGCGAGGTCGCAACTTTCCGGAAAAAGAAGCATAAAAAGAAAAAGGAAAGAGAGAGAGAGAGAGAGAGAGAGAGAGAG